CCGCCGTTGCTTGTGGCGGAGAAGGGGGGCGGCGCGAAGCCGCGGCCACGGACGGCGCGGCAGCTAAGGGAGGTCAGGCCGGCGAACGCGGCGGGCGGGGCCCGGCAGGGGGGGCCAAGGTACAGAGGTGACAGCTCCTGCAGCTGCCCCTTGGCTCCCTCCCGCCACTGCGCGTCGCGTGCCGGCGCAGGGAATTGGTGCAGGCGGGCGGGCCGCACGGGCAGCAAGGGCGGGGCGGGGCCCTGCAGTTTGCCTGCGCGCCGCGTGGGGCCACGGGCGGCAGGCTACCGGGCCGGGCGGCGCGGGATCGCACATCTGTCGCATGCGGAGTTCGAATCGCTCGGGGGGCGCGCGCCTGGGAGCATGTGAGGATGACAGCTTGGATGTCGTGCACCCGAAGACCGCAGTCATGTATCAGCTTGCCGATCACGTCGGCTGGGAGGTTGCGCCAATCGCACGCCTCCTTCATGGCTGGGTCCGCTGCGCCGCTGGTGTCAGCCGGTGGCTGCTGCTGCTGCTGCTGCTGCTGCTGCTGCTGCTGCTGCTGCTGCTGCTGCTGCAGCAGCAGCTGCTGCTTCTCCTGATGCTGCCGCAGCTGCTGCTGCTGCTGCTGCATGGGTGTGAGGGCGCTCGCCGACAAGGGGCGCGGCGCTGGCCAGGCTAGCAGACGCAGGGACGAGACTGTGCGCGTTTCGATCAAAATAATGAACAACGGTTGTGCCACCTGCACCGGACATCGGGACAAGACACAGCTTGCCAGTTGTGTCGAGGCACGAAGGACTCCCCGGACATGTGACAAAATAAATGAGAGCCCTCTTACTGAAGAGGAAAACGCTTTGTGTTACATCGATGCGGTCAAAAGACGGTCAAGTTATCCATCTAGTTGATCCAGATCAGTAGCTGATCTTGATCTCAGTCAAGGCTATGAACGGCACATGCTAGCCAGAGCTGTGGCGTGCGTCGTTTCGCTGGGACCGCCGCGGCACTTTGCCCGTCATATCAGCTCGCACAAAGCCAAAGCCGCAATGGGTCGCAAGGTAGGATGGCGGACCGGTACCTGTACCATGGGCTAAACACGCTGGCGCAGTTGGCCGCAGGACAACGCGCGTGCAGAGCACGCTGCTCCGCCAACCGGCACACCCGGCGTCACTCGCCGCCTCACCCCGATGAAGCCCGGTATCGCATAAGAGCAATCTCCCCCTTCCGAGCAGCGCGCCGCGGCGGATGAGGCTACCATAGACAACGCGCCAGAGGATGCCAAGCGGCCCGCCCGACGCACCAGCAGCAGGGGCAAGAAGGAAGGCGCGTCGGCGACCGCGGCTGAGGCGCCCGCGCCTGCACCCGCCCCCGTGCCGGCGGCGCCGGCGCCCAAGAAGGCAGCGGCAGCGGCAGAAGGCAAGCAAGCAGCAGCGCCAGCGGCAAAGAAGGCGGCGGCGCCGCGACCGCCCAAGAAAGCCGCAACGCGCAAGCCCACGAAGGCCGTCAAAGCGGCAGAGCCGGCTGCGGAGCCGCAGGCCCCCGAGGCTCAAGCCGAGGCGGCGGCGGGGGAGGAGAAGCCGGCGGCGGCGCGCGGCGGCAAGCGCGCCGCCGCCGCGGCGGCCGGCGGCGGCAAGGCCGTGGCCACAGCCAGCAAGCCCAAGCCGGTGGGGACCCTCTGCACGAGGCTGCGCGCGCCTGGCCCCGCGTTCAGCACTTGCCTGCGGGCGCGGGCATGCGCAGGCAACTGGGGCGGCTGCCAGCGCAGCCGAGCGGCCGCCAGCTGCTGCGCGGGCCGGTTGCAGCGTCGCCGAGCCAGTGGGCTCGGCGCTCTGCCGCCTGCGGCGCGCTTGCCCCCTCATGCATTTCTCAGGTTGTTCGCCGCGCCGCCGCTCACGCACCCCCACTCCGCACATGCGCTTGACCATCGACTAACCCTGCGTCATTGATTACTAAAGGATTACTACCTCATGAAGAGCGAACCCGACACCTTCAGCATCGATGACCTGGAGGGGCGACCCGGCCAGACCGAGCCCTGGGACGGTGCGCCCGCGCCTCGCATTTCATATTTCTCTGACCTGCGACGCCCCCCAAGGTCGCCCGCGGGCACGAGAAGTCGGCCCCCCCAGTGCGGCCGGCGGGGAGGGGGCAGGTGCCGCCGGGCCCGCCGGCGTCCTGCGTTCCGCAGCCAGGGCGAGCCTGCGTGCCCGGCGCGCGCGCCTCCCCCTGTTTGTTGGCGCCACCAGCTCCCCCCCACCACCACCACCACCCCACGCCCCTGGCCGGCGCCGCGCTGCCCCGCTGCCGGGCTTCCACAGGCGTTCGCAATGTGGTGGCGCGCAACGTGATGCAGGTGACCCCTGCCGCCGCCGCCGCCGCCGCCAACGCCGCGGGGGGTGGGGG